TATATATATAAAAAAAAGATGACAGACCATATCAATTGTTAACTTTGGTTCCGTAAGAAAAAGAACCTGTAACAGATTTGCCAAAGATACATTGCTAACTGTTAACATGCACACTGGTTTTAGAAATACACATCTACCTAATAAAAGTGGGAAAAAAATCTTTAATGGCTCTCCTGCTATACACTGCATATAACAGAAGATGTAATATCTTCCCAACAAAACACCCTGGGCACAAGGCAGACATTAACATCAGCTTTATCGCTGCAACAGAAGATAAAAGATTATCGCCACTATAGAAAGCATAGTATTTTCAAGAAACAAAAGGTCAGACATTAAAAATAACCCCCATGGCTGTATGTATATGAGCCAATACTTGTACCTCAGTGCATTACAGCCACATGCACATTTTAAGAGCTATTACAGACAAATTAAAAGCCAGGGACATCATATCTAAGAGACAGTTCCATCCTCAACTCACTTAGGGGATATGTGAATATTGGGCAGTTATTTAAAGCTGATCCACTCCACCTTCTGGGTGAAGAGAATCTGTGCTTTAGCCAGGCACATTTGCTAAAAAATTCATTCTTTAACTTTATTCTTAGGCCTCTTTTTCTTTTTTTTCCCCAAGTCATAAGCACACAATTTTATTTGAACTCAAGGGATTTCAGACCATACCACCCCTGAAGAGTTACTCTTTAAATAGGGATTTTATGAAATATAAGGAATAAGCACATTTTAAAAAAATGCATCTCATCTGTCTCTCTGTAAACATGAGCTCTTAGAAATGGTAAGTGATACAAATTATTAAGACTTGGCACTGTTGATCTTCAAGTGAATACTGCAGCACACATACAATAATGTGTACCTATGTGCATATATATATATATACATGCACATATGCACACACAATTATTCATGTACTAAAGCATTTACGCAGCTTGAAGAGTACCTGGAATTCATCAGTACCACTTCTGAAAAATAATCTAGTTTTTGCCCCAAATGATAATTCCAGAAAAGCATAGCAAGTTTCCATTTTATAATTTAATTAGTGAGATAAGGCACATTAAAAGCTTTTAAAACCAACACGTATCCAGTCCTTTTTAGTTAAAAATTAAAAACAACAATTGTGAATTACTTTTTGTGCATGTAACAGTTTTTCAGGGCTGTGCGTGTTTACAAAAAGCATCAACTCTATTGTGCAGTCAGGCTGTGTAAATTATTTGCGAGGTACAGTGGAAACACTGTCTAGCTCTCAACCAGTGTCAAACTCTGCAATACAAAGCTTTAAGTTGTTTACTTCAAAACCTACATTTTAAATACATGACACCACACACCATAGACAAATCAAAACTTTCCATTTCCTCAAAATCTATAGCCAAAACTCATTTTATCATCTGGTATTTAGCAAATAAATAATCTAACACTCTTAAATCTGAATAAGAAGCAAAGATCTCAGATTTGGTTTGCCAAGTTCCTTTATTGTGCAATTTTGAACATCTAGTATATTCTACATTGTGCTAGTGCTAAAGTTCTGCTGTACAAAAATAAGGAATTTATAGTTTACCTATACTACACAGTTTCACAACCTGTAACTGCAGTACATTTAACATACAGTCTCCACTAAATGAATACATTTATATTTTGATAAAACTATAGATACAGACTGAATGAACACTGAAGACACAACAAATGGAGTCGGCCTGCTAGCTGTGTTTAATTTATTGGAATTATCTTCTTTCAATACATCTTACAACCTCCCCCAACCTTTAATTTGCTCGTAAACCTTCTACACATTTTCATGGCATCAAGTACTGGAAAAATGTACTTACAACCCTAAAATAAAGGTCAAAACATATCTGCTTTTTCATGTTCTGAATGGGAATTCCACACAAAGTTTAAGAAAAAGCCATAGCTTTCATTTTGTGAAAATATGGGAAGGAACATATAGCAGCTAACTTAAAATTATTTATCTCTATATAGGTATAAATATTGCAAAGATTATCTATTATGGAATGTTTTTATGTAAAGAACTTGAGAACAGAAAAAAAGCTTAGACAAGTTTCTTTTTAGAGTCAACACATCAATAACACATATTAGTGCAAATAATAGCAACACATTTTGGAATGATCGATTACTTCTACCATGAAGTTCACATGATATTTTAGGAGTAACACTGAATTATTGCAAGTAATGGCACAAAGATGCTTCTCCACACTTGCCGCTTCTTCCATTATTATTTATTGTAGCTACGAATCTGGATCACAAACACATCAAAATTAGTAAAAGGAGAGTCCTAGGTGGCATGGTAAGTAGAAAACTTCCTATGTGCTTTAAAATCTGAATCGCCTCTCCTCATTCAAGACGATCATCAGTACTAAGCCTTATTCAGTCTTAAAATTTGCACTACTTCTTAACAGTATAAAGATATATTCTGGGCTGAGGGAATAAAAGTACAACCAGAAAAAAATGCACATTAGTAAGCATCAAATCTCATTACTTGTTGGACTACACTGACTACTGATGTGCATAATACATAGTATGTATTTTCACCAAGTTTCCATTTTAACGAATTTTAAGTTTAAATTCATATTACAGATTAGTAGGATCATTCTAAAAGTACTCTTTACATTTTCTAGTTCCTTCAGCTGAAGATTAGGCTTTTAAAGTTAAGCACCGCCATTCTTAAAGTATCCTAGAGTAACAGCAAGATTATTCACTGTAGTGTTGAAAGTTTCAGATGCTGTAGCAGTCCTGCCTTACTAGTCAGTACTGGATTATCCATTTATACCAGGAAACAATTTAACTGCACAAGAATTAAGTTAAATGTAACAGCTAATCGACTCCTGTTCTTGAAGTTCTGCTTTAGTTCTGCCTCTCAGTTTCCCTCATGACTAAAAGGCCAAATTCCGCACACAGCTGATACAAATCACTGCTGGGTTGAATAGTGTTTACTACATGTTCATTAATTTAAATAGTATCTTTGTGCAACAACAGACAAAAAGATTGAGGACAATTCTAAAAAAGAAGCAAAGACCCTTGAGTGGAAGTACAATGTATTTCTTCAAGTTGTTCAGACATCATCCCATTAAATTAGTATTAAAGTGCTTTATAACTACACACAGTACCCTTCTGCCCCTATGCAAGTATCACACTTGGCTCATTCCTGAAATTCTGTATTTGTATAAATGTAAAGTACTGGCAGTCAAATTCATTGTGTGTACCATAATCACATGCAGTTCCAGTGTTTAGGTTCTTCATTTACAAAATGAAGTATCTGTACAAAAACGTCAGCTTTCCTCATCATAATATTCCTGGGGTACAATGAGGCCAGCCGAAAATGCAGCCTTAACTTGAACATATTTTCATATTCTAGGTCATGGATTTGTCTGAACTCAGACAAAATATCTAAGATACAAAGGTAATACTTGCCCAAATTAGGAGAGTTAGCATGCTGTAAATTAATGTGTGAATTTACAGCATATTTGTTCTTCACCAGTTCTGTGAGTGGGCACACACAGTAAGCTCTTCAAATGTCTGGTGCAAAACTGCTCACTGCTTTGAAATGGAGAAAGCCATCTGACACTTAACTCATGCAGTGTTACCAGGCACTTGGATATTCCTGCTACGCTGTCAAAAAGATTCACACTATTGCTTACTGTGCACCAACTTCTCCTGTTAGGTAAGTGTTACATTAAAACACAGAAATGTCTGTCTGGACATTTGTTCGGGGGCAGAACAGATGTAGTTTGACAAGACCTTGCGAATGAGGCCTTTGAAAGAGGTGATACTTTCTGAAGGAGCACCTACACAGGTAGTAAGTGCTTTAAAACTGCACATTAATTTGTCTGAATCCAGAATTCCCATGTAGCCAAGTTCTCTGTGAAACTTTTGAAGCTGCACTGTTTTATCTTCATGCAAGTTAAGGAGGGAAAAAAGTGCACAATATATTCCTCTAACTTACTAATCGCTGATACCATAGCTGCGAAGAACTCTGCGTATCATGCCCTGTGTGCTATTAAGGATTCTTGGACTATATACACATAACTAGGTTTGTAACATATAGGTCTAGAGGAGTTCACTTCAAAACCAGACTTAACCTATGCAAATAATGCATACAGCGTGTCTTGTGTTTCAGGAACAAACTCCAAGCTGTGGTCTTTTTAAATACCAAAAGGCACTATAAATCCAGTTTTAATGAGAAATCTTTTAAATCAAACTGATTTCAAATATCATTTTTAATTAGGTGACCCAAAATGCCTAAGACTTGCAGTTTCAACTTAAACTTTAAGAACTCCTGAAATACAAATTTAAAGCAAAATTTTGAAGTTCTTGTCAGACTGAGATGAGGTCCCAGCTTTTGTTCATCATGGATGCTTAAAGATCGGCTTTGATAAATTTCTGACATACTTTCAAATAAGTAAATATGTTAGCAGGTGCCTTAAAGATGACAATAATCAAGCTGTAACCCCACCATAATTGGAAAATAAAATATTATAACTAATTTGTACATAACTATATGGAAAAATCACACCCAAATTACCATCTTCACAGACACTTTGCAAGATATTCTGATTATTTCATTTATCTCCATATAACAGGAGCCAGGAATTACTGGTCAGAAGTTAGCGCTGTCAACGGACTCATGAAGAACATTAAGAACAAATGAAAATACTTCTCTCTCATCCTGAATAATTTTCAGGGCTATAGGCTGGTGCACTTTCATAGCAGAATTTTTTCAGGACATACAGCAGGACTATGTGAGTGCCTTTTTCAGAAAGGTACACTAGATGGCCAATGGCACTTGAAGGTCTATTAAGAAGCCTGTATGTGTTAAGACTTTAGTTGTTGGAAGGGGAAGGGGGCCAGGGGGGTCTGTTTAGAAACAAAGTTACTTATTTTTTTTTAAATGATCCACCTTCTACTCTGCTTTCCAGGTACTTGTCCAACTCTGCCTCTCTTTTCACCGCCTCTGGTGATACCTTTGGTGCATTCGGAAAACAGATCAATATCACACTCATGTTGTCTCGACTTCCCTGGTGGAAAAGAAAAAATTATTTGAGAATGTATAGACACCAGGCTAAATACACATCAAAACACTTTACACACAAAAATTGACAAATCATATGGAATTAGAATACAACTTCTACTACTATGGATTAATATTATCATTAGCCTTAATTTCCCCCACCTCCTTACAGAATTCTAGAAGTCTGCCCCTTCATTCAGTACAGCTATTAAGTTACTTTGTTCTTTCCTCTTCTATGGTCTGAAAACTACATGGAGCCAACTACAGACAGCCCATTGTCTTTTAAAAATTGACATTACCGATCAGTGATGTCTAATTACAAACTTGTGTTCCATCTTGTTTTAAGTACTATCCAATCATTTTGGGAAAACAGCTGACTACTAGATGGGTAAACAAAACCATTACTGCTCAAAAGCACTAAATAGGGAGGTGTTAAATTCAGACAGTGCTTCCACCCAAAGTCACAGCTATTCGAGTGGTTTTTTTTCCCCTTTTCTTTTAAAACAAGAACAGTCACAAGCTAGAGAATTGTTAAAAGACCAGCTGGAAGGGGCCCAGGCCCTTACAAAGGCATTCTTTGACATGGAAACATTTAAAACTTCAACTAAACAGAACACTAATAGTTGAGTACCTTACAATACAAACACATTCTGCTTATGAAAAGTAACTAGTTTACTTCCAATACCCCTGTGCTCTGGTCTACAAATATGCATCCATACGCTTAAATCCACTGAAGTCCGCAAGATCAAGAACAAGCAGTGTTTAAACAAGAGTATATGGGCATATGGGGAGCTGCTGACAGTTGGCTATTGCAAAGCTTACAGCATCCACAGCCACTGTTCCTTCTCTGGTATTTGTTTTCAGGATTACTGGATAAAAATTGTAAACAAAAATATATGCACTATCAATCTGCCAAAGTGTTGGAAAGCAACTACATTTTTCCAAAAGGGAAACAATGACCTTGTTAGCCATGTGGCAAGAGCAGAGATGCTGTCCTGTCTCTTTAGTATAAAAAATGTTGGCTGTTTTACATTATGACTTATAGCTTGCCTTTGGAAAATTAAGCGTTAAGCTATGAAACTCAATATTTCAAATCTCTTCTGTAACTGCACCATCCTGCGACTTATTAATACAAAGTAGAAGTTATTATAGACAAAATTTCACAGATTTGTTAAGTAAAACAGTCCCATCTTCTACTTGAGCTAGTTTCAGAGCTGTATCACACAACACTGAATAAGAAATTCAGTAATTAAACTAGAATAAAAATGAATGTAGGGAAGTCAGATCCTCATGTAGTCAAGAAGAAATTTTAAACTGCAACATATGAAGGCAAGGTTCATTCATTCCGCAGTTATCTTGGTGTAATTACGACAGTAATGTTACTACTCTATGCTCAAGAAAGGAGGGGTACATTAGGAAGGGAAAGAACATTCTCTAGCCTGATTAAGTCTTAAGAGTTAAGGTTTTATAAAGTATGTTGTGAAACTGAAAAGGACAGTTACTGTCCTTGGCTTGCCCATAAATTCCCATTAGCTTCTAGTTTCCTAGTGATCACAACATATCCATATATGATTTTAAACCCTTCACTAACAAAAACCACCCAGAAAGCCATACTGTTCCTGTTGTCTGTTCATTCCCCCTCTATCACCATTTTTGTGGGAATCATGGCAATTCCTGTCAAAGTCGTGTTAGCATAAACCATTGGATACTTATCGACTGGAATCAAAACTTATTCTTAACTTGTTCATAAACTTCTAACAGTGAAAACACAGTAAATTTCTTCTCTCAAGTCTGGCTACCTTGTACAAGCAGGTGTCAACTATCTCATTGCAAACTTTCTCAAGGTCATCAGTGACTTCAAGTCTGGATCTTACAAAGTCACACAGCTCTTCATTTCCCATAACATCCCAGATACCATCGCAAGCCAGTATGATGAACTGATCATCTTCTTCTGATCTCTCAATTTCATAAACTTCAGGCTCAGGTGAGACCAGCTGTTCTGTAGGACCTTTCCCATGGACACATTTGTAATCAAAGTCCCCAAGTGCCCTTGAAACGGCAAGAGAGCCGTTCACACGCTGAATCATTACAGAGCCACCTGCATTCTGTATACGCTCTTTCTCCAGTGGATTACTTGGTTTGTGATCCTGTGTGAAGAAGTGAACCTTCCTGTTTCTACAAAGTAAACCTCTCGAGTCTCCACAGTTGATGAAGTATGTATGTTGGGGAGAAATCATAACACCCACAGCTGTTGAGCCACTTCTGTCTGCGCCATGTTTCTTCTCAGAGATGACTCTCATGTGTTCATCAATTTGCAGAAAACCTGTTCTGATGCCACTCTTTACACTTTCCACAGATGGTGGCCCATCTGGCCCTTTAAAATCCTGGTTGCTCGTGATGTGATCTAATAAATGCTCACAGCAGTACTTGGCAACCTGTGATCCAGCGTGCCCGTCATACACAGCAAAAAATGACCATCCATCAAGTCCATTTGGCAAACCAATCACAGCCGTATGTGCATCCTCCATTTCAACTCGCCAGCCCTGCATACTACTCAGACCATAACGAAGGCCATTTCCTTGCCCCTGGGCATTATGCTTCTCCATCTTTGGCTTGTCTAAAAACGCTCCCATGATGACTCTCCTTCAGTTCTAAAAAGAAAAAAAGGATTATTCAGATATTTCTTAAACATCTCTTGTTTAAAAATCCTATTGGAAACTATTAAATAAGGGCCCAAATAATGTTAAGATGACAGAAATACACAGATATAAAGCTGACTTTTCTGTGTCTCTCTCAAGTCACATTTGCGTTGCTTTCATCTAATATAAACAAGGACACTGCTACTAGCTGAATTGCACTTTTTGTATTTTTGTAAGCATTTTCAGCTGTTTTACTTGAATAACTTATATTCCACTACCATTCATGGTTCTGACAAAAGCCTCTAGAAGAAGTATGTATGAAATTAGTTTGAAAGAGGGTTTGTTAACTGGCACACATCTGAATAGCTATGTTCCCTGCTACTACTGAGCCAATGAAAAGAGTTCAATGTTTCCAGGACAGTGGCATTCCCATGATCCCTACCTGCTGGCCACGAAGTCCTGCTCACACTCTGCTTTTCTGATGGTGATTGGGAAACAAAAGCAAATTGATTAGGTTTGCTTTTGGTGGAGAAGGTTTGGGGCTTTTTGTTTGGTTGGTGGTGTTTTGTTTTGTTTTTTTTTTTTTAAACAGATAAGGTGACCTGAATGATCAAGATGATGTCAGAGTCTGCATGAAAGCAGCAACACTGGATAAGTAGGAGCAGGACTCAGAAGGAACAGAGCAGCTGTCCCTTTAGGCAGCAGCAAGCCATTAGTTTTGCTCAGCCATCTTGTGAAAGCTCATCCTTAGATTTTCAGTTAAATTACACAGCAAGCTTCTCAGATGTCTGTGCTGCAGATTTACTTAAAACTTTAATGTATTCATGCTTCACTGAAGGGACAACTGCCCCTGACAAGTCTAAGGAAATCTGTTTGGAAATAAAAATCACACAAATTCATGCTTCCTTTTTCATGCCAGACCAATATACTGCACTCTACCCTCCTCCACCTCCCATCATTGGGATGTGTTGCAGCAAATACTCATGCTTAAGAGACTAAGAACTATATTTGCAGGCAGCGTAAACTGACTGGTTTATCTTCATGGCTTTCACACCCTAACCATCCAACCCACCCTTCTAATCCACATCAGTTTATTTGTGCATTCATTATTAAAAAATCATACAAAATAGGTCACATGTTTTACATACTTGCAAATTCTGCCCTGGGAAGCATCAAAAAGTGCGCAAATCACTGTTATACAATACAAGGTAGTGGAAACAAGACTACGAGTTTTTCTATTTGAAGACAGTGAATAAAAACTGCGAGAAGAATTTCTGAAACAGGTTTTACCTGAGGTCCCGACTAAGTAGCTGCACTAGCGGAAAAGTTACTGCACTAGGGATTTTAGAAGGTTTTAACTTGTATGTGGAATACATTTTATCAGCTAAGTGATAACACCACTTTTTGATAACATACTTCTATTGCAATACAGCTCCAGCTGTGACACCATATATCCAACAACGCTTTTCACGTTGTCTCTTCCAGCCACTATCAACCTTTCTAAAACATCTGTGTAAGAATAATAAGTCAAGAAATGTTTATATTTGATCTCACCACAACAGTGATTCAAACGTGAGGCACAGGGACTAGATATACACCCTTTGGCTCATACACTTTGTTAACAGAAATTATACATACTTCAGCTGTATGGAGAGAGATGTCAGCCACAGTTCACCTCTGTTTCCTCTCCCCCCAACCCCTGCTCTTAACTTCTGTCTCTTCTCAAGTGCAAACAAAATATTGATGCCCATGCAAACTGTAACTAGCCAAGAAAATATAGTGTACACTGGTCTTGTATCCTAAGCACATGCCATGAGGTTCACATTACTGCAGTTGCTAGGAAAAAAATATGACTTTATCTTCACATGCAACTCTAGTGAAGTCAGAGTGATCAAAATAATTACAGAATGCTGCCATAAATCAAAAGAGTGAATTATTTTGCAGAATAACAGACTTTTTATTCATTCCATGATAGTAGCAGGGTTTAAACTAACACCTAGCACTTTCTTATTGTCCAAGAGATCACAAAATAGAAGGCATATATTCAATTATTTCACCTTGATTTAGAGCTCAAAAAGTAGAAACTGCCCTGGCAAATACCACATTTTTGTGAAGTACTTTACATTATTGCTGTGTTTAAAACAAAAACCAGAAAAGTATTAAGAACAGGATACAGTTAAACTGATCACAAGTACTGTCAAACTTGGACTAAAAAAGGCAGTTTTGCTTCTAATCTCTCACATTACTAGGTACACAATATTCAGAGTTATGCTATGTAAGCTGTTTATCCCTCTCAGTAGCTTGCCACGTAAACCACAATTAAAAATACATACATACAGGTTGCATGCAGTTCTAGCAATTCATACAGAGCTGCTAACACACTTCAAAATTTAACAAATCCACAATCCATGTAAAATCAAGTTACCTTATCCCTCCCCAGAAGGTAAATTGAAAGCTGTTGCTATTCTAAATTAAGCCTTGTAGGTGAGATATTGACACGATTCTTCAAGAGTGTGAGCTACCCACCATGGATGCGAATACAACCAGACAGAAGGATAACCACAATGTGGTCACAGAACTTCTACTTCGGAAATTATTCACAGCCCATACCATAAAGTAGTCACCTTCCGAAAACTGCAATAACAGACTGCAGTTGCCTGTCTTGTAACACTCTAGCTGGTCATACTCCCAGCAGAACGCCAGTCTAAACCTGTAGGAGAGTAGGCCAGGTCTTCAAAATCCTCACTGTAGCTGAAGGGAAAGCATAGGTTACTTTTGGATAGGATCAATATGCCAAGCCTTTAGTTTTTCCAGAATTTTAATTCTTGTTCAGAAAAATATGAGTTTAATATGATGAAACTGTGATTTTTTTAATGAATTGGGAGACTACCTGCTACTTCTCCCCACACACCTTTATGTATGACTGAAACCTGAAGAATTTAAAAAGCCTTAGCTATTAAAAAAAAATAATAATCTTAGTTTTAACAGAAGGGACCGACATACACACACAAAAAGGCTGACATAAGAAAGTCATGCCTCCTTCCTACTAAAGATACCTTTTAGACCTGTTTTTGAGTCCGTATCTACAGAAACACCCTGCACACATCAGCGTCTACCTAAATCACTAGTACGTTCTTCATTCTTTCATGAGGCGGTTTGAGCACTACACCGGTTAAGTTGGAATGACACCTTTAGTTAAGCATATAACTCTGTAGGCAGATCAGATTAACCTATAGCAGCGCAAGCGCCCAAGTTACATCATGACTTTGTTGTGTAATAACACCAAAGAGAGAAGTCAGACCCAGAACAGTCTGCATGCACAATGGGCAATAAAGCAACAGATCCTGAACATGGTTTAACTCAGCCCTCCTCTTAAATTTCTTTAGTTATCTTCCTAAACAGGAGTCCTCGTCTTACGACCCTTATTCTCCAAATAATTTTACCACCATTGTCCTTCTTAACCCAGTCACACATCTCTGCAATCACATTAGAAAACTGCAGTCTCATCGCAGGACACAGAACCAGTCCTCTACTCTGGAAGCCTTAACTTTCAGGATGCTTGAACAATGCACATACGTACTAAAGGAGACAGACATTCTTCCTACTCCTAGTAAAGTCAAAGTAAGAGAAAATGCACTTCAGTTGTGAAGTTTAGTGGCAAATGTACACGACCTAGCGTTTGGTGGTTGTTTTTTTTTCTTAAGAGGACAATTCTGAACAGTACTATAGCAGCAGTGCCCTGCAAAAAGATCAGAGGTGCAAAATTTTCTTCAGAAATGGTAAATCTAAACCATCATCTGGCACTGCAACTGCCATAATGATTAATCAAGCAAACCTCAGTTCTAACCTAAGATGATTCTTGGTTCACCGTCTCCGTATCAGTGACTTCCATTAGTTTCTCCTAAAAGAGAAGAGTTTTCTGCAGTCAAAGTTCCCGGGTTCCGGCTCTGAAGAAGAGAGAGGCTTATGAACAAAACTAAAAGTTAAAATTGATCCCTATGCATAAAAATGAATATGCAGGAGACTCATCTATGCATCTAAACCATGACTTCTGAAATGTTGATTTTGTAGAGGTCAAACTGAAGGACAGCCTCTGCACCAACTGCATGAAAAACTCAAGCTGCAGTTTGCAGACAGAAAAGCAAGAACACTGTACAGGGCCTAGAAAAACACAAGTAACAAGATCTTGGATAAAACACAAGAGTGCCAAAATTCAAAGGACTGCGGCATTAGAAACCGAACTGAAATAATGAATGGAGCATGCCAAAGAGTCACTAGCTAAACTCCTTGAAAATATATGCAACTGGAGAACAGAGTGGCAAAGAAAAGGAGGGTAATTAGTATACCAGACCATGGACAACCATGGACAACCACAGATACATCACTGGAATGCATGAAATCTCTTTGCCCCTTCATTTGTCCCTCAGATTGTGCTATCCAGATAGCACAACTATAATGCCTTCCGATACACATGAAAGTAATTTTTACTGTTTTGCTGTTTGCTTATTCATTTGCTTGAAGGTTCAAATGAAGATAAGTCTTAAATTGTTTACAAAGCACAGTTAACATAACTCCATGTACACTTATAGAAAGAAAATTTATTTTTCCAAGGACTTAGACAAGGATTTGATTGTCTTGTCCAAGAAAACCAACCACCTCCATCTGAAACTTGTACTTTAACAATATGTAATATAATAATCCTTTTTAAACAATATTTGAGTTGTATTCCTTCCACTAGGATAAGCCGCTTATATGAGCCACACTGAAGTCATAAGCACTTGTTCAAACTAAGCTGAGAAATGTCCCCATACTCCAATTTCCTGGAACAATTCTCCAAGTGACATTACGCCCTGTGTGTTGTAATGAGTACCATAAAGAAAGATTACAACCTTTACTTGAACTACAGGACACTGAGCAAGTCATCAAATTATACAGACTGCTACTGAATAGAAGCGCATTTGATCACTTCAACACCAGTCTGATCTGTGGTTCTC